CCCCAAAACCCCAAAACCCCAAAACCCCTCTAGCCTTCAAATTGCATCAGTTAAATATTTAGATTAATCAATGGTTTTTATTAATCTTATATTATTTTTATTATAATAAAATGAAGGCAATTCAAAGCAACCTTAGATTAATAAATAAAAATATAGGTCTCATTCTAAATTCGAGAGCTTGCTTCTCATCCAACTCAAATCTATCAGTAAACTATTAAATTATAAAATCTCCCATTTTAGGAAAGTTAAGGAAAGATAACTTAAAGATCTAATGAAGAAATAATAAAGGAGTATGAAAAGCTATTCGAATATGCTAAGGAGAATCTCGTTTATAAATGTGGAAATCTCACTGATATGCCCAGTAGGTTTGGCTTCCTTAAGAGATGGAGGCATGAGAAATAATTAAACTATAATAACTGCAAGCATCCAATCTTTCTATATGCTTATAGAGCTTTTATTGATGCTTTAGGAAAGCATGATATTCAGACTGTATCAAAGATGTGTGAGAAGAATTTGTTTCGGAAAATTGAAAATAATTACAAACAAGTTAACTCTCTTAACTCAAGATACTTCTTGATTGATAAAAATATTTAAATGAAGATGAAGCTTTTGGATACTAAGATCGTTGAAGGAGTTTACTTAGATAGATCTAAAAATCTCTCATCATCTTATTATGATGTGAAAGAAACAAATGAAAAAATAAATTACATTAGAAAAACAAAAGCCATCCTTGGAAAACCAGCTGGAATAGATTTTGAAGTTATGCTAAAAGATAGAAAGCCCTAAGGAATAAACACAGGGTTCTAAAGTGAGGGTAGCTAAAATTAGCAATCAAATACTTTTAAAGAAGAGCTTTCTATACTGTAATTAGATATATAATTTGCAAGCAACTTGAGAATAGGGATATAGCATAATGATGATGAAAACTTAACGATAGGTGCTCCTTTGCAATTCAATAAAGAGTTTGAAAAGCATGTTTTGAGATTTGAAAGATATATAAAACTACCTCAAGAGCTACAAGTAATCAGAGATAAGCTAAAGAAAGAGGCTATGAATGATATGAGAAAGCTAAAGGAAATGAAGGATGAAGAAACTCTGAATCCTTGGCTTATTACTGATATTGATTATATTATGGATGGAAATCCGTACGTTGTTAATTTAAAATGATAATCTAATTCACATTTTTCAGTATTATATTAACATAAATACATTAATTTTAATTTAATAACTTTATCATCTTTATCAATTCAATTAAAGATAAGCTTCACCTCTCTTTGAGAATGATAGATCAAATGTAAAAATCTTCATTCACAATTCCTAAGACTGATGGTATGAATATTTTTCCATTCAGAATATGAACTGATTCATATTTAAGTCTATTGTGGTTACTCAAATGCAAATGTCTTCGCTGATTGTTATTAGTATTTTTGGCATTAAGACTCATTCTCTATCTTATTGCTGAAGCTACTTTATCACTGAGTAGCATTTGTCTATTTGGATTCTTTGGGGATAATTATTATTGAAGATCAACTTCAGAATTTTAAAAACCAATATAGGATGCACCCACTACTTATACCTTAAGAGCATCATCCATATTTTCATAGGCAAGCTCATTTAACAGTGATTCTCCAGATTTAAATTCTTACATAGGTGCAATACCTGATGATGCTTATTACTCCTAGGGATGATATTAATTTGACTGGAAATTTTTGAATTTCTATGGATCCTAATACCTTAAGTATCTTTCTTTCTACTTCTGATTTAGAGTTGATATCAATGCTATAAATAAAAAGCCAGCACTAATGACTGATGAATATATGATAACTCCAAGACAATAGAATTTCTCATCTCCTGACAGCTTACTCGTCAATCCATAAGCAGATGAGCTTGGAATGAAGGCAAATATCATAAAGATAAAGTTACAAAAAGAATTAGCGATAACCCTTTACTACTGATATATTGTATATAGCAATTATCCCATTAATACAGGTAGAATTAATCCCACAAAAAATAATAAGCCTGCTAGCATTGACATAAAAACTGCAAAATTCTTTACGAATGGAATTGGCAATGCAACTACAGTAGCGCAGAATGCAGTAAAGCATAATACACCAAGAGCCTATGGAGATGATGATCCCCCAACATTCTTTGATATCAAAGCACCTATTAAGGATCCTATAGTTGGACTAAATAACATTACAATTGAAAACCAAAAGTAAACTTTCTCAGGACTGGTGTTTAAAGTCAAAAGCATATAATCAGTTAACCAATATTACAATCCTGTAATCATAAATAAGTAGCCTAGGAGAGAGAGTGTGAAAAATATGAAACTATTATTCCTTATCAAATACTTCAATTGTTCCTTTTTTGTTAAAATTCTTTCCTATTTGCTTCTAGATGATAGCAATGCATCATTATTTTCTGTTATCAAATTGTATTCAAACATTTTATTTTAGGGGACTATCTCATCTTCTTTCTTCATTGTTAGAGCACTAAGCTAACCGAATGTTTCATAGGGATCTATTATTGGTTTTTAAAAGGTTTCATCATAGGGGCTTTGTCTTACAGCCTCTCTTTTTTTCTCCTCAATCTTCCTCTATTCTTCAAGATATGATTAAATATCTGTATATTTTTCAGGCGCAAATAGGAACCCTACAACGCAAGGTAATAATAAGCAACTTTAAGAATAGATAACAATCTTCCAATCCATTTTACTACTCACAAGGACTCCAGTAATCATGTATCCAATAATGTAACTAAAAAATGGAAAAGTCAATAAAATTGAGAGCCAAGAACTCTTTTTATTATTATTCCCAAAGGTATCAATCCAGACACAAAAATAAATGAAGAGATGAATCTAGAAAACACCTTAAACAAACTTAGCGAAACATATCAGTACAAAATGTGGGCTTATAGTATTTGCCAATAGAGAGGTTATAATTGCACAAAGACTAATTAGAATGATAAGTTTTTCAGTCATCCTACTGATAACAAAAGGAGAAACAAGTTAACCTATATCAGATTCATAAGTCTAATATCTTACCTATAAATATTCCAATATATATGAAACTCTAAAGACCTCCAAATTAGAAATCGTCCAACTACAAGCTTTATTTTATCTCTATGCTCGCTGCTGCAAGTGCTCCTTAATCCATATTCATGATAATGCAAGTAAGAAACACTAGTATAAACAAGAAGTTAATAGCTGCTCTGTTATAAAGTGTAATTTCTAATGGAAGAACTTGAGGTTTAACAACTTTTTTCTTCTTGTTATTCAGCTTAGGTTCCTTTATTTTTTACAACTTCGTAAGGGAGGAGGTGAACTCTTCATTCATATCGAAATTAAAGACATCATCTCCACCTCGCTCATTTTTATTTTAAAGTAGGAATTCCTTGGCTTAATTTTGTTAGTTAAGAGTTTGCTACCTATTTGTTTTTTCCATTTTATTTTGTAATAATATTATGTATCTATTACCACGAAAATCGTAGCATATGGGGTTTTGGGGTTTTGGGGTTTTGGGG